ATGTGAAACCTATATGTGCATATATGTGAAACCTATATGTGCATATATGTGAAACCTATATGTGCATATATGTGAAACCTATATGTGCATATATGTGAAACCTATATGTGCATATATGTGAAACCTATATGCACATATATAATAATAATACATTTAATTTATATAGCGCTTCTCGAAGTGCTATATATATATGTGCAACCTATATGTGCATATACACTGCACCCATATATGTACATATATGTGTGTGCATATATGGATATATATGTACATATATGTATGTGCATATATGGATATATATGTACACATATGTTCAGAGACATATATGTAGGGGTCCAATTTCAGATATGTCACATATATGTTAAACATATATGTGACATATATTAAAAATATATAGGTTCATATATATTCCTTCCATGTGGGTAGCCTATGAAGGCACAACTTAACAGGTATCAACTCCGTATAATAAAATAATATATATATATTTCTACAACGATATATATTGCTGGAAACATTTATTGCCAAGCCATACAAACTCTCGCGGACAAATTCTTTTTTATTGGACTATATATATCTCTCTTAGGAACCTACATATATAAGAGAATTACAAAAATGTTGTTTATTTACCTTTTGTTCTTTTCTCTAGTTCTACCCCTTCTGTCTTTTAACACCATGTTTCCACACCATGAACCATTCAGTCAAATGTCATGATTTATTGCAACCTATGGAGACATTTAAGAACCAAGAAGCATTTCAATGTAAAATGCATCCCAGCAGCCGAATGTGTTTCATTCCGGCTCTGCTCTCCATAGAAACACAAGCAAACAGCCAGCCAACAAACTCAAACACTCATTTGTCTCAGGAAAGCAGCTCCTTTATACACCGTTTGTTTCTCACCCACACACACAGAGGCATGTCAATAAAGATACATAATCTCAGTGATGAATGGTGGACCAGCACACACACTAACATGCCTTTAATCACACTAAAGGTCACTTCCTATGTCTCCACAGAATCAAACTTTCCCTTAGTAATAAGAGGCTGCAGGTACACCTGGAGAGGAGGGGCTGCTGGGTAATTCATCCTCTGCTGAAATGTAAAACTGTGTGAGCTACGAGGAAAGTATGTCAGCTATTGTTCAGACGTGCTGGATGCCTTTCTGTTTCATTAAACATAACCTCCGGCACTCTCCTTCTTCTTCTCAGCGTTACCCTTTTCTTTGTGCTCTTGTTGTTAAAACACGCTCGACAAAAGACGCCGTGGCCTGTGGGGATTCATGATCAGACCAATAAATTAGCAGAGCTGTTTCATGCAAAAGTTTCAGCATAAATCTGGTATTTAATCACTTTTATCTGCATATAAAAAGTTACAGACAGTCATTGAAAAACCATTTCTGAACTTATTTCAGTTAAATAAGTTCAGAAATGGTTTCCAATGCACGATCCTGCAATGTAAGGCCATGTGCTTCACATTTTTGGCTTTCTGAATCTTCACTCATTTTGAACACATATGGTATATCATTTGGACAGCTGTGACTTGTTTTTAACGCTCTTATGATGATAAGTCTATGATAAAGTCTGTATCAAAAATACACACAATAAGGGCCGTTAGGACAGAAAGCCCTTTTACGCATGTCCTCCCCACTCTATCTCCAATAATGGCAAATATGCCCAACATATCTTTCAAAGGCATTCTGAACTTACCAGCAACATTTAAGACATTTCAAAGACATTTTAAGGGATTCTTTTACTAAAAGTGATTAGACTTTTAAAGGTAAATACATTTTTAAAACTGTTGAGTTTATGTGAAGTTATGTGAAGGCATTTAAGTCTATTAAAGTCATTCCTTTTTAAATGTGAAGTTTAGACATTTGTAATGCTTTTTAAGGCATTCTAAAGCGTAGTTAGGAAAATGAAAGTCTATTTGTGGCATTCTAGAAGTAAATGTTAAGATACAACATTTGTAAGACCTTTAAGGTATTCTATGAGTAAAGGACACTTTGTAAAGGCCACCCTGCAGAAAGCTGTCTCACAGAAACTCCTGATGATCTGACAGCAGAAACATCATGAAAGTGAGCCGTGTCCCTGTCGGCAGACTGACTGTACAAACATGATCATACCACAGGGGGAACACTGGAGGATTGTGGGAAGCTTCTGAGTTACTGTATGGAAGTTGTGATTACACGCTGATGAATAATGAAAAACATTTTCTTTACTGTCTGAGATCCAGCGTCCCTGTGGAGGCTATTAGCCCCAAAACACAAGCACAAAACTTGAAATAAAAAGGAGTTCACTCTCTGGCAGAAATATATCTTCAGCAGTGAAAAAGAGAAAACAATCAAAATTGCGCAGAATTTGTTTGTTGGCAGCTGTTTAGAAATGTTTCATGTGGTTGTGTTGGTTTTAGGGATGCAACTAACAATGATTTGTATTCATCTAATTGTTTTTAAATTATAGATTAGTTTTGTTTCTTAAATGTCAGAAATTGTGAAAAATGTTCATCCCAGTTTCTCATAGTTCAAGCCTATGTCATTATATATATTGTATTGTTAACGCAATAAACAAAGATGTTATACCTCAATATGAAATCAGACAGAGAAAAGTAGCAAATGACATTATTTGAAAGGGTGAAAAAGCCTTATCTTAATGATTAGACACTACATTTCTGTTGATTGACTTATCATTGCAGCTTTATTCACTGTGTAAAGGAAATAAAGGTAGTGTTTGTATTTAGAGGCACCATGCTTTGCTCATTTTTAGGTTTAATGTTCAAAAAGCTCTTTATTTTTCTCATCGTGCTGCAGCACCTCTTTTCACCCTGAAAAGTCTGCTCTGATTGGTAAGTTGGGTGGCTCTGTTGTGATTAGTCAATCACTTACAGATGTCCCGCCCCTAAGCCTATCACGTACAATGTGTTTGAGTGCTAGCCAATAGAAGTGCGGAAAATTGGAAAAGTTGCAGATTATTTTCTGTCAACAAACTAAAATTGGCAAATGGTGAGTATGGTCGGTTGGTTTCCAATTCATTTGGAAAATGTGTAATGTCAATAAAGAGTAAGAAATGTCATTCCCAGTTTCTCATAGCCAAAGGTCTTTCAATGTCTTGTTTTATCAGCAAAGATATCCACTTATAAAACAGATATAAAACAGTGAAAGCAGGAACTCTCTGAAGATATTTTCGCATCAAGCACTCACTCAAAAACTGGTGTTTATTTTCTTTTGGAGGGACTAATCCCTGCAGCTGCAGCACTCCACAGTATTGTCTACGTTCTCACTGATATTAACTACTAATTGACTCCTTCCCGTCCCCTCAGCCCTCCCTCATTCCTCAGCTGTCAGCGTTGCATTAAGTCATCCACGCTCTTCGTAAACAGGCGGTCTTTGCTACCTGACCTATGACCCCGCCGGGCACCCCTCTGCCCTTTAAGGGGCCAAACAAAGGAGGCCAGCACTCGAGGACGTCCCGGGACTCTCTGGCCCTCCGACTCTCAGCTCGTCCTCTGTCTCTGAACTTTTGTTACGACCTCTGTGTTGACTTAAAGCTGAGGGCGTTGTTTCAGCAGGAGGACATTAAATCACGAGCACCAAGACGGGACACAATCTTAGTTTCGGAAATGTAGATACTGAAAATAGCCTTGAAAGAAATGCAAAATTCACATTCCTACAGGTTTCATCACATTATGATTTTATATCTATCTGTTGGACAACAATAAAGTGTAATATCGCAAAGCCTTCAACAATATGATTTGATTACGATTTGATTAGTTTGAAGGGCCTGTGATTGATATGAAACTGTATCATATGCCCATTTACCAAAATCAGTTACCTTTTCACATCAACTCACAAAAAGCCACTTAAATATGATTATATATGCACTGGGCTCTCAGAAATGGTGAAACAGATGTGCCAAGGGGATTTCAAAATAAAAGTTTTTCTTATAGAGGATAGTATGTATTAAAATGTTTGCATCAATGATCTTGAATAGTGCTCATTGAATAGATATATTGATCCATATAATAATAACGATATTTATGGTTGGATTATGATGGTTTCTTATTGTTTTTTGTGTATTGCCAATTGTGCTTATATTGTATTGTTGCCATTAATAACATTGTATGTATCAAGGTATTATTCCTCATAAAGCATTTCCATACAATGGACACATTCAAATGTTGAAGCGATGATTGCTCCAGAGTAAAAAACAAAAGGATTTATCCCCTGAGTAACATGTATCTCTGAACACAATTTTGTCAAAATCCATAAAATATTCAGTTTGAACTAAAGTGGCGGATCTACTTTATTGTCCGTGCGGCCAAATTAAAGGAAATATCAACCATATTAGCAAATTCGTCTAAAAAAAACACTTTAGAGTTATGAGGGTTGCCTCTAGCAACACTTTCTCTATCAAACACATACAAGGTGTAATATGGCTGGGTATAATGCCATTCTTACACAAAAGGAATCAAAACCCCATATTTACCCAAGTTCAAAAATATTAAATAACTTAAATAACTAAATAAAAAAACAGTATTATAAAAAGCCATATCTCTTATGTATTTATCAAGAATATGGTTTAAAATGATTTTACGAGCAACTTAAAATCAGATTAATTTCTAGCCACAATAGAAGTTGGTCGAAAAAATGCAGCAGGTGTATAGAGACACGTCAAATTGGGGGGGCGGGGGGTTTGAGAGGAGACAGCAGGAGGATTATAAAAAGTTTAAACACAGAGAAATATTGATGAGGAGAGACTCAAGTTTCTCCATCTATTCTCTTCTTCCAGGCTAACGAGCTCCAAGGGGGGAAATATAACAGTCAGCGTTTCAGCAGAGACTCAGGATTTAAACACAGAGAGCGAGATGATGTTTGACACCAGACACACAACTAGCACCTCGATAAATCTGCTGAGTCAGGTCTGACTTCAGCCTCCTGGTTTCCAGCTCTTGAGAGTGGAAACTGTTTTATAGATGCAGAAAAGTTGAACGGTTTTGACTTCCTCACTCACCCGTCTGAGTCCTGGTAGTTCACATTCAGTCTCTTGGTGGAGCCCAGCAACTCTGAAAAACACAAAATAAAAAAGCAGAATATTAAGATCTGAGATGACAACAAAGAGAAACAAAATGACATCAAAGAAACAAAAAATGACAACCGAGAGTCAAAAATATTACAAACAAAATACAAAAGGGCTACAAAGACACAAAACATGAATACAAATAGACAACAAATTAACTTCAAAGAGACACAAAATGACCACAAAGGGAAACAAATTATCTTCAAAGAGACACAAAATGACCACAAAGGTAAACAAATTATCTTCAAAGAGACACAAAATGACCACAAAAGGAAACAAATTATCTTCAAAGAGACACAAAATGACCACAAAGGGAAACAAATTATCTTCAAAGAGACACAAAATGACCACAAAGAGAAACAAAATGGCCTCAACGAAGCACAAATGACAACAAAGAGGTGACAAATAACTAAATAAAAAACACAAAAAGACTAGAAAGAGGCACCAAATACTAAAAAAGATAGACAAAATAACTTCAGGGAGACACAAAATGACCTTAAAAAGGCACAAAATAACAAAGAAGACAAAATAACAACAAAGATTCAAAACTTTTCCCTGTAAAATTGTATATTTACATACCGGCAGTAAGTGCTCAAGTCAAAAGAATTATCTCAGAAAAATACCTCTGATAATAGTAATGTATAATTATAGTTATACAATTATAATCTTTGTTTCTTCAACAATATTGCAAGTTGATATCACAATCTCTATTGACTGTCATAACCATGGGGAAAAGCTTGTTGACGGAATGTTTTAGTCTTGCACAGATTCAAACGATGGCAGCCCCTCTTATTAACATTGCAATCACTGCTGGCTAACATTGCAAGCATTGGCTGCCATCTACAATAACACTACTAGCTTTGGAAGCCAGCAATGCTTGCTAACGTCGCAAGTACCGTTATCTGATGGGGCTAGCACTGTTTGAATGTTACGGAAGGAGGTGCACTTGGACCTAGGGTTGCAAAGGGGCTGAACATTTCCGGTACATTTCCGGAAAGTTTCCATGGGAAGTTAAGCTGGGGTATTTTGGAAATATTCGATGTAAAATTAAACAAAAAAACATGATATTTCAATAGATTTTAGAACAGAACAAGTTTTAATTATTTTATTGAACAATTTGTTTCATTGAAGAACGAAAACAGGAATGTTGAGTAAAATATTACTCATCATGTGATGGAGGAATGCCTGCAGGGGGTGTGGTCTCAATAGCCATGCAGTAAGCAGTGTGCTATGGCATGGATATTCAAGTGTACTTGAATGGCATCTGTTTGTTTTAGTCAAGATTATGCTAAAATATACTTTCCCCATCTATATTTAAGTTCCCTAAGAGCCAACCTTCAATTTAGAACATTCCCAGTTTATTCCCATAAATTCCCGTTTATTCCCATGCAAAGTTTCCATCTTTGAAAATTCCTGGAATTTTGCAACCCTACTTGGACCAAACTGTAGAACCAAAAAGACCATGGGAATTTCAAAAACAAAGGGGTATCACAGAAGTACCACCCACATGAATGTATAAAGAGAACTGGATACAGACAACAAACTGATGAGAACAGGAGAAGCTCAGGACAGTGGGTTGACTTCAACGTGACTGTTTGTTTCTAATATCCGCAGCTTCTCGTAGGGATGGAGTTGATATTTGATTAAACCTGTCAGTGGATTCTGATGATTTTTAGCTGTTAGTGTTTTATATCCAAGCTTTACTGCATTTCATGAACTCTTTCTGAATGCAGACTGTTGTGTGTTTGGAGGACTTCCAATTGTCAAGAAAGAAAACTATATTTAGTGAAGAGCTGCTGCTGCTGTACACTTCACCACAATGAGCGGAGAGAAGCTGCCCTTTCGTCTTCGTTTTGTTTATTGAGAAGCAAAACAAAAAAGTGAGGCGTCTCCTGCAGACGTGTAATCATATATCTGATACTTGCAGTGGTCAGACTTATTTTAGTTGCTAGATTTTCACAACAGATTCTCTTTCAGGCCAAGACTCGAGTCCAAAACGGATCCCAAAACCTCACAAATCTGCAGACTGATGCAAAACCTCCTCCTCTTGCTTCATTTTTGTGGCGGCAAATCCACGGGACATTAAACTTGAAGCTCAAAAGTAAAAAAGAGAGCCAGTCCCTGCAAACCCTGGAGCTGAAACACTCCATAAACAGCACAAAATTAACTTTGATCAAATGTGCAGCAGATGATGAAGATTAAGATGATGATGGGAGCCACAACATTTCATATTCTGTTGGAGGTCAGCGAGAGTTTGATTTCAGATACGTTTTATTATGTAAGAGGAGAGGGAGAGCTGGCCTCTCGTCTCAGTACCTGGCCCAAGTCTCAGGACCTGCTCCTAGTCTAAGGACTTGCCTCTAGTCTCAGGACCTGTGCCTGGTCTCAGCACTGGACCCACTCCAGGTCTGAGGACCAGCCCCTAGTGGTCCGGCTCCTTGTCTCTTGACCGGCCGCTAGTATCAGGACATACCCCTAATCTGAGGACAGGCCCCTTGTCTCAGTACCGACCCCTAGTCCTAAAAATGGCCCTTGTCTCAGGCTACTAGGGATGTGCAATTTAATCGATACTGCGATATATATCGATATTTAGTTTTCCAAGAAAGTATCGATATTTCAGCCGCGGGTATCGATACATTAAGTCTGATAACTGTGTTCGTTATTCTCGCATCCAGGAGAGAAGCTTTAAAAAGGAGACTAATTGACTCTCTGAGAAGGTTCAAATGTATACTTTAATTAATAAAAAGCGCGGTAATGTTACTAGCAGAAGATGGTTCAGTCAGAAAAACAGTGTTCTGGCTCTCGAGCGAAGGGAAGAGAGCGAGCTCCACCTTTCCAGCTGTTAAATATCCTCTGCTGGCTCCTCCCTGTGGGCCGGTTGGCGCTGCTGGGGGCCGGCCCTCCACGTCTCCAATGTTCGTTGTTGCGCTTTACAGAGGATTCAGACATTGTACATTAAATATATAACTAAACACGCCTTTTCTCCTCCTTATCTCTTTCATGACTTTTCATTTAATACATTTTAAACGCTGTAATCAATACTCCAAAAATACCTCAAGGCTGGTATCATTTCCGGTAGTTCCGGATGTTGTCTCATGCTACCCAAGTCTGTAAACAAACGTATTCAAATAAACTGTACCTTAATTTAATATTCAGCAATAATAATATCTCGACGTCTATAGTTGTAGTGTTGAAATCAGTAGGTTTCGGTGTGCAACACTCCGTGTCATATCGCTACTAAATTCACCTCTATAGTAAATGGTATATTAGCCACATGCTAAATGCTAACCGGAGATGAAGGATTTTCAGAATAAAAGCTTAACAACTGGTTGTGCACAAGAACTTCTGGTTTTTCAGTATAAAACAGCATTTAAACTGATGGTATGTTTAAGGTACTTTATGCCATCAAAACATTGATTTTAATTTCTAACAAGTCCCATTCAAATCCCCCGTGTTCCGCCACCTGCTGCACCTTTTAATTCTCCATTGTGATACTGCACTTTATGTACTTACGTTTCAAAGGCTTGTAAGCTACAGTTTGCACTGTTTCAATAAATGAAACTAATTTTCTCACCACATCTTTTGATTCATTTTGTACAGCATTTGCAAGCTGTAGACTCTCTGTCAGAGCCATATATTGTATAATTGATGCTTTCAGTTTTCAGTTGAATTAATTCAATCCAAGTCAATGGAACACTCAAGATGTCACCAAAATCACACTGTCCCTGTAAAATCTTTCAGAAAATGATATAAGTGTATCGAATTATATCGAATCGTATCGAATCGTATCGTTGGCTGAATATCGTGATATATCGTATTGTGAGCTGAATATCGTGTATCGTATCGTATCGTGAGATTAGTGTATCGCTACAGCCATACAGGCTAGGCCCCTAGTTTTTGGTCTGGTCCCCAGTCTCTGGTCCGGCCCTAGTATCAGGACCGGCCCCTAGTCTTAAGAATGGCCTTTGTCTCAGGCCAGGCCCCTAGGTTTAGGTCTGGTCCCTAGTCTCTGGTTCGGCTCCTAGTATCAGGACCAGCCCCTAGTCTGAGGGAGGCCCATGGTCTCAGGACTGGCTTCTTGTCTAGAAACTGACCCTTAGGCTCAGGTTTGGCCCAAAGACTCAGTTCTGGCCCTTAGGCCCATAACCCAACCCTAGTCGTACCGGCCACTCAGGACCTGCACCTAATCGAAGCGCCCCCCAGTCTCAAGACTAACCTTAATGTCTCAGGACAGTCCCCCTAGTTTCCAGACCTGCCACTAGCCATACTGCCTTCTAGTCTCAGGACCGGTCCTTTTTTCTCAGGTCCGACCCATAGTATAAGGATCGGCCCATGCTTTCATGACCAGTCCTTTGTCAGGAACAGGCCCTAAGTCTGGGGACCCGCCGTTAGTATCAGGTTCGGCATTTAGTCTCAGGACAATCCTCTAGTCTCATTAACTGCCCTTAGTTGTCTCAGCACCTAGTCTCAGGACAGGCTCCCAATCTGAGGTTCGGATTAAACTTGGTATCATTCTTGCTAAATGTTGTATACATCCAGGCGTTTCTCACCATATACTGTACATACTATTTACACTATGGTATAAATAGTATGTATAGCTTTTAGTATGCAGTCTGAAATAATGAGACAGTTTTCATGTCTCTTTCCCGCTGCCAGTATGTTCAGTTTGTATCTAACTTTACATTTTTGTGCAAATGTATTCCCATTAATTATAAAATCCAGGTCAATATCAAAGCAGCGCTTCGAACCCCAAAGGGAGAGCCTGCTGTGTGTTTCCCCACAATCTGCCAAACTTCAAATACTGTGTTGCTGCTTGTGGAGGCTAATGCTCCATCCAAAGAGTGTCTACAGGCTGTGACCTTTGACCTCCTGTGACCCCTGACAGTAAACACTGTGTGTTTACACCCAATAAAACAGTTCAGTAAGAGAAATCTGGGCAAAGTGTTAAAGTGTACTAAAGTGGTTAGTTTAAAGTAAAAAAGCACA